TCACCTTGAGGCAAGAAATCGCCCGTCCTAACCCCGTGGTCAGGGAGTTCTCAGTAGACAGCACGTATCAATCAGTAACACATTCCTACTACAATCCTCATTCTACAGCTTAGTCTTGAATCAGTGAAGGGAGGAAATGCATCACAGAAGGAGGGACTTAAAGATCAAGGGTGGTCAGTCGAAGCAGCAGAGACGGAGACAACATGAATTGTGAAAGGCCCTTTTGCAAGACATTATCTGCAACATCAACTTCCAAGCTCGCATTGATAGTAAAAATCAACTCAGCAGCAGCAAACAATGCCTAAATAAATTACAGAATTCTCAGTGGGGTGGTCCAGTGTCCATGCCAAGGGAGGTAGAACTGTCTTCAGGTGGTTGCAGAGATACCCACCAGGTCCCGGCATGCAAAAGAAAATTCCTCATGGCCTTGCCTGCAGGGGAATAGTTCTCTTCACACCTTCATGGCCTCCATACCCACAGCATGGACCCCAGTACTTCTGGTTATCAGATTCTTCTCCTTAGGGCAGGATTCTAAGCTGTGTCACCCATAGATTTACAATTAGAATTAGTTATTATGGTTGGTAGCTGGTTCTTTATTTGCAGTCACTTGTGCCACTCCCTCCAATGAGTTCCAGGTCTGTGCTCTTGTGTTAAACTTCCACCATGGTCTCCAGAGCCCCAGCTCCTGGCTCACCACTCTCCACCTTCTGTAATCCCATGACGTGACTGCACCATTGCCTGTACAACCTTTTCCCTCTTCTGGTTTGAGCAGTTCCCAGGGTTAGGGAGACACCAGGTATCCTAAATAGCCAGGTTGTTGGTGATGCTGATGTTGCCAAACCTTCTGACAGTTTGATTCTAGCTCAGTGCACACACAGCTCACTCTTGTCCCACCAGTCTTTGCCACACAATACAAAATGGTGCCTGATGTGCTACTGGTGGAGTTCTGGATCTGCTGGTCGTTAGTCTGGGAGCTACCCGAACCTATTTTGGATGGATCCTGTAGGATTCCAGATCAGTGCAACACCCTCAGGCAGAAAGGAGTTTGCTCCCAAGTTAGTGCATATATAGTTCTGTCTCATAGCCTTTGCCTTTCTACATAAATGGCACCTGATGCAGTTCTGATGGGGATTTGGGATGTGTAATCTACCATGTTTTGCACCACCTGTTTGGAATCTGCTGCTCTCTCTGCCTCTGATTGAATAAAAAAATTCAGCATGGCAGGCAGTTCTTTGGGTTCATGGGTTCAGCTGCTGAGCTCCCAATGACCTCCCCTTCACACCTGGCTGATGGTGGAGCTCAGATTGCCACCCACTGACTGTCACTGGGGTATGTGGTCACTGCAGCACTGCACTGTTGTCCCCACTGCTTTCTTGTTTCTGTCAGTCTCCAGGTGCTCTTCTGCCATTGGCCTGTGTTCTCTTGTTTCCTGGAATGTGCCCTCTCTGTTTCACCCTGGCTAATGATTCCCTGTTTAGAAGTGTCCTTACCTTATTCCACCATCTTGATTCTAGTATTGCGCATCATATAGCACACAAAGAGTGGGAGGACTATGAGTAAACATTGCAGCATCTGTCAAATGGTGCAGACATGGCCCTGGCCTTCAGGGCACCCCCACTCTGGGCATGGCCAGAGCCTGCAGCCATGGCTGCTGGAGTACATGGGACTCCTCTTGAGGCACCTGCAGGGGCCCTACTCTCTGATGTCCTAATGGCCAGGTGTACTGGCCTCCAAATCCTTGGTGGCCCTAGGTGAAACCCAGTCCTTCTTGCCCTAATCATGGTATCGATCTTAAGAGAAACTTTCATGCCTGCACTGAGCTTTGTCGTACTACATCTGCATGGAGCAACAAGGGAGTCAAGTGAAATAGGCAGCAATTATGTGTGTGATGGCAGGAAAGAGGTGAAACAGGAGCCTCCATGCCATTCAAAGCTTCTTGTTACCAGATGGATGGAAAGAGCATCACCAAAATCATGAAAGCAGTTAAGCTTGACTTTACTTCCTAGCAATCTGGATTGATTTCACAGTTAAAGGTGGGAATGGTTATCATGTTTGTGTAACAAATATTGGTTGTACAAAGCACCCTGTATCAAAATCTGGTATCAGTGAACTGAGAAGAGAGATGAGATGGGAAGAGAACAACAGTCATTGGGAGATCCTGAGTAGACCTGGGAGAGCAAGCCTACCTGCTGCTGCACTCATTGGTTTGGACAGAGGGCTACTGTGAGGGGAAGATGGCTGGTGGGGACCGAGACTGGCTGTTTCAAGGAAGAGTGCCAGGCCCCAGTGAAGAGGATTAACTCAGATTTTCCCAGGTGTATGAAAACATTCATGCCAAAGAAGCCTCGGAAATCTGTTGGTTTCATGTTAAAAAATAACATAAGCAAGTATATTGCTTCTGTGCAGGCTGGGTGTAACAGTTGCTATTCTTGTCTTCCTGTGTGTTTAGGGGATGATAAAGTATAAAAGGCAGGTATTATAAGTCATCCAGGTATTGTGGGGCTGACAGAGCCTGAGAAATTACTGCACTATCCTCATTTTGCCAATAAAACAGCTCCAGTCCCAGCTTCTGGCACAGTGCTGCATCAGCACCCCGGCCCCAGTCCCGGCTCCTGGCGCTGTGCTGCGTCAGCACCCCGGCCCCAGTCCCAGCTCCTGGCACAGTGCTGCGTCAGCACCCCGGCCCCAGTCCCAGCTCCTGGCACTGTGCTGTATCAGCATCCCTGGGGCACAGCTTACTACAAGTTTCTCTGAGAAACGCAGAGAAGCTTTCCATGGATTCCCACTCACTGGGCAGTCTGGCTATCTACCCTGTCTTTCAAGTTGTTGATGTGAAACTGAAGCAGTAGAATGGATAGTTCTAGAGCTGCCAGGAGCAGCCTGGTTGCTAGGTAACTGGATATGTGAAATATCATCATGACAGGAGTAAGTCGTGATCATCATGTGTATTCACAGCAGCCAGTAACATTCGTTGAGTACCTAATATGCAGGGACTGTACCATCCTCTTAACTATGTATTTTTCAATTCATTCTTCAGTCATGTAAGATGAATGTTTTATCATTTCACAGGTTGATGGTGCTAGGGTGCTTTGGAACACCTGTCCAAGGTGCCCAGTCAATAAAACCAAGGCACATTCACTTGGCCACCGAAGCCAGCCAACTGGAAGGGTCACTCAGTCAATGAGCCCCACCTTAGCAGGAAAGAGAGGAAAGAGGCCTCCCCTCATTTAGGTGTCCCCTGTTTCAGACAAATTGAGCACATCCTGTACTCACTTCCCTATGCCCCCCATCTGTTGCAGCCTAATGTGGCTGTGAACTTGGCTGGGAGAAGGGGCCCTCCCCTCAGGACTCAGTGCCTTTCCCATGGACTGTGTGATGGTGGCTGGAGACGTGTGTGCTGGCTGCTCTGCCCTCCTCTCTCTATCTGCATCCACTGTGTGTGCTCTCCTGCTTCCTGGACATTACCTTTCTGACATGCAGATTTGATTGCATTGTTGAATGCTTGAATGAGCTCATATAACTCCATGCTTCCTGCATAAAATAGACTCTCACAGTATCCCGCAAGGTCAAGCTGACCCTTGTGACTCAACTCCCACCTCGCATTTCTTCTTCCCATCTCAGCCTCACACACTTTGGCTTTCTGAGCCTGTTAACAACACCTGCTTATTGAACCCACATCTTTTCAAAGTTGTTTTGCTTAAAGTATGTTCTTGCCCTCCTAGATTTGGTTTATGTACACTGAAGGGTTCGCTTGCAGCCTCACTTCATCCTGGAGACCCCACGGTTATCCTCCTCATCAGCTCTTCTTTCTCTCATGGCTTTCTGTTTTTGTTGGACTGTTTCTTATACTCAAGCATCCCACTCAACAAGCACTGGTTGAATGGCTGTGACATGCCAGGTATTTGGTGTAGTGTGAGTGACAGTGGTGAGCATCAATCTAAGTTCTAATTGGTATCCCAGAATTGTCTGTTTCCCATGGGACCAGAGCCCTGGAGTGAAGATGTGTGCCCAGCACAGGGTACAACAAAGAGGAGTCTTCCACTTGAGTGAGGCCTGCAAGAGCCATGACATGCCCCACCCAAATCTAAGCCCTGCAGAGGGCGCTGGTCAGGAAGAGAACACACGTCACATTCTATACAAAGGGAATGTTTGCCCACAGCGCTTTTGTCTCTGTGTTCCCCTCACCCCTTATTCCTTGTAGTGTATATTTGGTTTTCAGGAAGAAGGAAGCTGAATTAGCAGGATGACTTTGGAAAACTTCCCCTTGTTAAAGAAACATTGTGAATTCCCATTTTCAGGGTCTTATCCAAATTTGGACCAATTTCAGCATAATCTGGTGTTGACAGTCAATAAGAATGAAATCGTTTTCCAAAATGCTGAGTAAGGGATAGTTGCTGAGACTGATTATCTGTGCAGTGTTGTAATTCAGTTATTCCCAATAAAACCAGTAGCAAGCACTCACAATTCAACTTGTTAGAGCAGGTTATTGTGTTAAAAAATAGATCAATTTTATTTGTGTAACCCACAAATCCAAAGATATGCATATACATAAGCGTTCTTAGGTTTTACATAAATGTGCATGTGTTACTATATCATGCAAAAACTAAATCTTGTTTTAAAGGTACATTACACATAGTATTTACTTGGTAAAATGTTTAATAGGTTGTTATATTATTAAATGCACACAGTGCATATTATGCAAGTTTTCTATAAGTCATCTTCATGGATTTTTCTAGAATTTCTATGTTAATTGTAATTACTGTAATGAGGCTATTGGAAATATACTAAAAGTTACTGGGCTAGACAAGTGCAGGCCATATTTGTCCATGAGTATTCCATGTACAGGTCTTGGCGTATGTGTGACAACATGTAAAAGCACACATCTGACAGCCATGCTAGTGATGTTTAGCTGAGCCTTAAACGTCTTCATCATAAACTCCTCTTATGCTAATCTCCAGGTTGTAACTCAGATCTTCCCTTTCTCTGTGTCTTTTAATCAGTGTATATGGTTGTCCTTTGGCTAAGAAAAGAAAAACACAAGATAAACAGCCTCAAGAACCTGCACCCAAAAGAAAACCATTTGCAGTAAAGGCAGACAGTTCCTCAGTCGATGAATGTTATGAAAGTGATGCTACTGAGGACATGGATGAAAAGGAGGAAGATGAGGAGGAAGAGTACTCAGAGGACAATGACGAGCAAGGGGATGAGGAAGAGGAGGACGAGGAGGTGGACAGAGAGGAAGAAGAGGAGATTGAGGAAGAAGAAGAAGATGATGATGATGATGAAGATGGAGAAGATGTAGAGGATGATGATGAAGAAGAGGATGATGAAGAGGAGGATGAGGAGGAAGAAGAAGAAAATGGTAATCTTTAAAATATTGGTAGTGTTAAGCTGTGATTTGGATCAGTTTTTCAAAATGAATTGCCTGCTGTTAATATTCATGATACATAAAATGGATTGAGTTAACTGTCGGAAAAGTTAACCTCTACTTTACTGAGTTTCTTCAGGTTGTCAAACTTCATTTAGTTTATTTCAGTTAAACTGTGATTCAAGTGGATTATCATATCGATGTACTGAGTTGTTTGTGGTATACGTAATAAGAAGGCTGAGTATAGTTCATACGTAGTTAAGCTAGTGCACCTGTTTCTTGGTTGCTTTAGTCAAGAGATACTAGCAATTACGAAGCAATGTTGGTGGGCAGCTTCGGCCTACATCTCCTGGTGGGGCAGAAATCCTGAGTACAAATTGGCATGTCAGCTGGGAGTATGGGCTTGGGTGCCAATTATCAAAGCTGTGCTTTCATGACTGCCAAGTAATTGGGGTGAACAAAAGTTCTCTCAGAATTAGTTGATTGGCTTTTTGTCTGCCCCTATGTTTGAAAACCATTTTTCTGACCTAAGGTGTCCAACACCTTAGAAACACAGGATTCGGGTGGATGCAGTGAGCGTGTTGATGGTATTGAGGGGAATTCGTACGAGATCCTCTTCATCTTGGGTCCAGATTTCTCTTGGAGTCACCCAAAAATCTGACTTCCAGTGCTTCTTTTCCAGAGCAGAGAGGCATTTTCTGAACAGCTTGTGTATAGTCTTCACTGGCCCAGGGTTCGCATGATGGGGATGATAGCATTTGATGAAGAGGTGAAGGCAGTTTTTCTTCTCATGCTTCTCCATGCACTCAGAAGCTCTTCCCAGTCAGGATTCTGGGAGGGAATTTATGCACACAGAGGACAGAATCATGCATCGTTGACTGAGACAGCTTGCCTCACAAGTCCTACTAGTTTATACTGGATTTTATGCAATAATCCTGGACTGTTAGAGTGGCTTAAGATTCTAATGAGAACGAGTTACCAATTTATGTATATACATAAATCCATACACACAAGTAAATTGCACAAATTTATTTTCACAAGATATTTTCATCCTGATACTGCAGAGTGCTATGTGGAGAAGGTGTAGTGGGATTTACAAGAACCCAAACAATGTAGTGATCCTAAAACCACCAGTTTTGTGGCATCATGCCCCACTATCATTAATGAACAATTCAGAATGAAGGGACACTGCACTGTGAAATATGTAAAGAGCTTGGGCGAAGACCAATTTGGGAAATTACTGATATGTGTGGCTGGGGGTGACACCCTAGCTGTTAAGGTGATGGCTGTGGTCTACACTGCTCTTTCTAATTCCCATCCTGTGTTTGGAAAGCAAGAGACATTAACGTTTAGGTTATGAATATCCTGTGTATAATGGATTAAGGAATGGGATTTGTAAATATACATCTTTGAACCAAGGGTTTAAACTAAATTTTAGATTCTGCTATCCATTTCTCTTTTTTAATTTTATTTTTAGTATTGATTACTAGTTAAGAGGGATGCATGCCCATGTGGGCCTCTGATTCAGGTAGAAAGGGTCGAAATGTGTACTAGGTGGATGAGATAAATATTTTAGTTCTGTTTTTTTCTTCTTCCTCCTGTGTCCACAGAGATTAGGGGAACAGGAGGCCCATTCCTGTTATCAAACTGCATCAGTGCCCAGGGATGGCAATGGTCATTTGATGTCGCCTTAGAGACCCCAGGGTGGGGAGAGTGTGGGTTGCTGCTTGACTGATCTTGATAGTTTTGAGAAGTTGCCGGCTTCGTTGCACCAAGATTGAGAAAATCTTCCTAAGGTCTGTTGGCTGACCAGATCTACTTTGGTGTATCCAGACATAGATGTTTGCTGCAAAGCCTGACCAGCAGAGTTGTTTAACTTGTTTTGTTTTCCATCTTTTGATGAGGTACACAGCATCCTCTGTTGGCTTAGGTGAGCTGGCTTTCATGACTGTCATGTACGTCTGAGTATGTTCTCTGTTGCCTAGGTGTCAGCAGCTGAGAAGGCCCAGTCCTGATACCTGTCTCCAAGGTCGGACCATATATCTTGCATTTTCCCTGAGGCTCAGGTTTGAATCCACTGATCCAGTTGGGGAGTCTCCCATGAAACCATGCCTGGAGAATCCTCAGACTTGACCTTTGTGCGTCCCAGTTTATGTAAGGTCAGATGCAGCTTCCTGCTCAGTTCCTCCCTCAGCCCCATCACTCACACACACACTAGTCCAGACTGGCCCACGCCCGACCCATGCCAGACACGTACCAACATGCGCTCCTTCTTTACCTGGCATGTCCTGCCCAGCTGCATCTCTCATGCTCACCAACGGGATCTGTGCCTAGCAGGAGAGTCCTTTTCCAGCTCCAAATCTCACACATGGCCCCCAGTCCCAGCCTTAGCCAGACTTGGCAAACTTGGCAGATGCTATGGCTGGCCTAGCCCAGCCCATCCTTGGCCCGGGTTCTCGTGAATGTTGGTGAGTTCTGTGTTCTTGCCTTACTTGACCCACCACCAGTCGCAGTTCTTGCAGACTGGCAGGTGCTGTATTCCCACAGGGGGAGACTCTGAAATAGCTTCGGAATATGACTGCACAGAATTTGTCTGAGCACTTAGAGTTTGACTTGAGCACTTAGACACACCTGTTTTTGAAGCAAACTAACAACATTTTACAGGAAAGAAAATCCAAGACAGTGGGCATAACCAAAGGCGTGAGATAGATCCATCAAGGACACCTTGCCGAATTGCAATGTAGGTCCCAGTGTCCTAGTGACCTGACCACAGCTGGCATGCTGACCTCCTCTCAGGGGTCCAGCAAGGGTGGAACTGCAGCCTACAAGGAAGCAGCTGTCAGAAAGTGAACACCAAGAGGTGGCAGAATGCAGAAGAGGATTAGTAACTGATTTTTGGGTGCCCATTGCACAAATCATCCTTGGTACTAAGGGGACTGATGGCAGACTCCGGCCTTGCTCTCCTGAGATGCTAGGCTGCCTCCTACTGTACATCTCATGTGCTGACCATGGTTAGCCATGCCTTGGGATGGGTGGACCATTTTCAGAGTCCCAGGGAGCCATTTGGAAGCAGCAGCTTTCTGGGAGGGCCCGCACTGCAGCCTGCATCAGGTCTGGAGGGGCACCAAAGGCTTGCTTGATTTTTGAGTTAACTGGGAGCCTCCCTCTGGCCCACCAGGAGCAGGTCTTGAGACTCCCACAGGCATCATGGAGAGAATCTTTCCTTGGAAGCCGCATGCAGCCAGTGTCACCGGTGGACATGCTGGGTGATCTCTTCTTCAGTTATCCCTTGACCCACCTGAGTCAAGAATCTTTAGCTCAAATAACAGTACCGCTTGCTTGGTTGGGCAGAACAAATCTCTAGTAGGGTTGAATTTATTAAAGCAAGACAGTGAAAGGACTGTGGCTGTCAGCCTAATGTCTGTGTCTTCACTTGATGAGCACACTTATGGTGTGCAATTGTTACATTTAGTGCCAAATCCACCATTGAAAAATGTATATTAATTTTCTGCTATACAAGCAATATTTAAAAAAATTTTTATTTGTAAGATAGTTATAGAGTAAGATGGTAGGAGAGAGGAGGCAAAAAGAGGGAGTGAGAGAAAGAGGAAGATCTTCAACCCACTGGTTCATTTCCTGGATGGCTAAAACATCCAGGCTGTGCTAACCTAAATCCAGGAACTTCTTCCTGGGTACAGGAGTCCAAGAACTGGGGCAGTGCTCTACTGCTTTCAAAAGCAATGAGCTGCATCCAAAGGACAGCTGGGCCTTGAACTTGTGCCTGCATGATATCAAAGCAACCTGTCTAACACTGCAAATGTAGGCTGAGAATTGGGTGTTCCATTGGTTACATATGACAAATGTACTTTCTTTTTTTTTTAAAGATTTATTTTTATTACTTTTTTTATTAGAAAGGCGGATATACAGAGAGGAGAGACAGAGAGGAAGATCTTCCGTCTGATGATTCACTCCCCAAGTGAGCCGCAACGGCCAATACTATGCCGATCCCGAGCCAGGAGCCTCTTCTGGGTCTCCCACACGGGTGCAGGGTCCCAAAGCTTTGGGCCGTCCTCGACTGCTTTCCCGGGCCACAGGCAGGGAGCTGGAAGGGAAGCGCGGCTCACCGGGGATAGAACCGGTGCCCATATGGGATCCCGGGCGTGCAAGGCGAGGACCTTAACCACTGCGCCACCAGGAAAGGGCATGACACAGATCACAGTCCTAAAAGGTAGGGCATGTTCCTTATGTTAGAAACCGGAACCATGAGCCTCTCGGTGAGTCTGGTGACTCCACATTCCTGGGCCACCTGCACAGCCTCTCCCAGAGCACACACAGCAGTGAACGCACAGTGGGAGCACAGCCCCTCCCAGAGCACACACAGCAGTGAGCGCACAGTGGGAGCACAGCCCCTCCCAGAGCACACACAGCAGTGAGCGCACAGTGGGAGCACAGCCCCTCCCAGAGCACACACAGCAGTGAGCGCACAGTGGGAACATGGCCTCTCCCAGAGCACACACAGCAGTGAGCGCACAGTGGGAGGCTAAGAGTGGGGTGAGGAAGGCAGGGCGCACTTAGAGGAGAGCATTTGCCGGCTCTTAGCAGATGTTCTTGTGTGAAGAAGTACGGGCAGCTGACCCGGTCCTGGAGAGAATTGAGCTGAGTCTAGCCCTGTGGTGTACCTGATGTCGCTGCTGGCACCAGGGAGGAGCACTGCCATCTTCCAGCTACTCAACCTCATGGTGTAACATTCCTTTAGAGATTGTTTCAGGAAAAAGAAATAGAAGCAAAAACAAAAACTATTTAAACAAAATGCCATAGAACTACAACTGAAGCAGAGCATGGCACACCTGCCAGCCATAGTGTGCAACCTGGAGATTAAGTATTGGTTTTCCAGTGTTATGTACTGTCAGTACGTACACTTGTGTACTTCACACTTGATCTTCACAATGACCATGAGAGGCAGGCAAGTGCAGAACTGACCTATTGTGTCATGC